TTTTTGTATGATGATGAACTAGCCTTGAATGCTATGCTTTTCTTCTTATTGTCTTCCTCTTCCTTCTTATCTTCCTTGTCATCCCCTTCTCTTTCCACACGGTATGTCTCTTGTGTCATGACATCACCTAGTACCTGGTTGGGGGTGATATCCTTTAATCCTCCTCTTATGATAAGCAATCTCAACATCTCAAACCTTGGAGGTAGGCACATCAAGAATCGATGAGAGACATCATCATCCTTGATCTTCTCTCCCAAGGCCTTCAAGTCATTGACAATCACTTATAATCGATGGAACATCTCCGAAATGCTCTCATCTTCTTTCATCTTGATGCTTGTCAACTTGTCTTTGAGAATATACAACATGGCACTCTTCACCGCCGGTGTGCCCTCATATGTTTCCTCCAATCTCCTCCACACTTCATTTGCTCTTTCACAATCCTTGATTTGCTCAAACACCTTTGGATCAATGGCATTGTATAAGGTGTTGAGGGCCATTGTATTGCATTGCTTGTTGGACTTATTTTGGTTGGTGGGATTGTCGGGATCAATGATAGCATAATCATTCTCGGTTACATCCCATACTTGATCATTGATTGAATCAAGATACACCCTTATCTTTCTCTTCCAATAACCATAGCTTGTGCCATCAAAGAAAGGTGGTTTGCCCCCCACATGGTTGAACACAACTTGAGCCATAATTTGACATTGAGGTTGTTAAGCCTTTAATCACATGGTGACCACGGCTCTGATACCACTTGAAAGGTTCTAATATGGCTAGAGAGGGGGTGAATAGCCTATTTGAAAACTACAAGTCAACTAGAGCAATTTGATTAGTATGACAAATGGCGTAATACAAACTTGCTCTAGCTCTACAAGGGTTGCAAGCCACCTATCCAACAATTCTAGTTGCAATGATTACTTAGGCACACAAACTTGCTATGTAACTACTCACTAAGATCTCTCAATCTTGCTACTCTAAAGAGCTCAACTAGATGAATGTAAATAATAAAGCAAGCTCTCAATTCTAATTACACTAAAGAGCTTGTATCAACTAGTTTGCAAGAAAGTAAATAAGTGAGTAGGGTGATTATACCGCCGTGTAGGGGATGAACCAATCACAAGATGAATATATATCCAATCACCGAGAGAATGCCAAAGACAAGAGACACTCGATTTTCTCCCGAGGTTCACGTGCTTGCCAACACGCAACGTCCCCGTTGTGTCGACCAACACTTGGTGGTTCAGCGGCTATGAGGTGTTTCACAAACCTCGTCCACACGATAGGACACCGCAAGAACCGACCCACAAGTGAGGTAACTTAATGACACGAGCAATTTACTAGAGTTACCTTTCGGCACTCCGCCGAGAAAGGTACAACTCCCCTTACAATCACCGGAGATGGCCACGAACAATCACCAACTCGTGCCAATCCTCCACCGCTGGTCCAAGCCGTCTAGGTGGTGGCAACCACCAAGAGAAACAAGCGAAATCCGCAGCGCAACACGAATGCCAAGTGCCTCTAGATGCAATCCCTCAAGCAATGCACTTGGATTCTCTCCCAATATCACAATGATGATGGATCAATGATGGAGATGACTGGGAAGGCTTTGGCTAAGCTCACAAGGTTGCTATATCAATGGAAATGGCCAAAGATATGAGCTATAGCCGGCCATAGGGCTTAAATAGAAGCCCCCACGAAATATAGCCGTTATACCCCTTCACTGGGCATAACGCGGACTGACCGGACGCTCCGGTCAGTTGACCGGACGCTGAGCCTCCAGCGTCTGGTCGCTCGTAGTCAGCCACGTGTCTGACTCCAATGGTCATCTGCCTTGACCGATCGGACGCTCCAATCAGTTGACCGGACGCTGAGACCCTCAGCGTCCGGTCGTTTCCAGTAAGGGTCCAAAACCGATTTTTATCGACTGGACGCGTCCGGTCATCTTGACCGAACACAGCCCAGCGTCCGGTGCTTAACCCTAAGCACTGTGCAGACCGACCACTTGACCAGACGCAGCCCTTCAGCGTCCGGTCGCTGAGCGACCCAGCGTCCGGTCAGTAGACCGACGCCAGCATCTCACTGTTACACATGACCGGACGCTGTATAACCAGCGACACTAACTCATTTTTACTTCTAACTTCTCCACTCTTGCTCAACTGTGCTAACCACCAAGTGTATCACTTTGTGCACATGTGTTAGCATATTTTCACAAATATTTTCAAGGGTGTTAGCACTCCACTAGATCCTAAATGCATATGCAATGAGTTAGAGCATCTAGTGGCACTTTGACAACCGCATTTCGATACGAGTTTCACTCCTCTTAATAGTACGGTTATCTATCCTAAATGTGATCACACTCGCTAAGTATCTCGATCACTAAAACAAAATGGCTCCTACAGTTTATACATTTGTCTTGAGCCTTTTGTTTTTCTCTTTCTTCTTTTCTAAGTTTAAGCATTTGATCATCACCATGGCATTACCATCGTCATGATCTTCGCCATTTCTTCATCACTTGGAGTAGTGCTACCTATCTCATAATCACTTTGATAAACTAGGTTAGCACTTAGGGTTTCATCAATTAACCAAAACCAAACTAGAGTTTTCAGCGGGAATGAGAGAACCAAAAAAACAGGCATTTTTAGTGGTGCATCTCCCATTAACAGAGGTCAGAGGCGACGACTTGATTATCTCTGCTGGTCCTGTTTGGCTTACCCCATATTCGACTTGTTCGGCTTCTTTTTTCAGCTGGAACAATATTTTTCTCTCACAACAATTCAGCCGGAATAGTGTTTTTCAGCCAGTTTCAGCCAAGTTTCAAACCAGCGAACGGGGCTAAAATGTTCTATATTAATGGGCCATTTCAAAGGCCGTTACGCCGCCCGTCAGCAAAGCGTCTTAGAGCGCTCATCTATGTAAATCACATTAATAAAGGTGGCAATATCAGGTTGTTTGTCTTTAACAGAGGTAGCTGATCTAAGGTTGACACATCTGTTAATAATTTGCAAAAATTTACAATTGCTCACTCTTTTTCTTGAATTTTGTTTTCATTTTCGGATTTGTAAGATTGATTGACGCCATCACGATGTGTATGCATATCTTACCATCAACATATAGTGGTGTGTTTGGAATTCTTGTCGTTGCTTGCTTTCCCAGGCTGGGAGACAAGACATTTGAGTTGTGAGCGTCATAGAGTTGCATTTGAGTTGGTTTCACTTTCACAATTATGGCTTGGCAATTCAATCGAGAATATTGATAACGGGTTTTATTATTAATCAAAATAATAAAGTGGATTCCAAATGAAGGCATATCATTAATGATACAAGCAAGGTTTGAGTTGAGGATGGCTAGATATGGTGAAGGTAGCACACTAGCAATAAAATGGTTTTGATAGACTAAGCGAGGGGCAAGAGCAAAGCATTTAGTTGGGAGACAAGTTAGGGTGCGATGGTCCTAACTCTGTTTTGCAGGATGAGATGACCCTATTTTCTGTTTGGTTGAGAAGGGATAGGGCCGACCTATTTTCTATTTGGTTTAGAGCTATCAAAGGTGGGATAAGATATTGACAAGCGGGGCCATTCATCAGTTTTTTTTCTCCCTCCTCGCCTTCTCTTTCCCTTCCCGCATCATAAATTCCGCCACTAGCGCCCAGTCGGAAATTCCGCCCCAGAGCCCCGCGCCCCGCACGTACGCCGGCGCTTGACCCATGTCGTCCGCGCGCCTGGAGCTCGCCCAGCCCGCCTAAGCACGCCCCTGCGCTCTTGAGCTCGCCGGAGCTCGATCCTGAGCCCAACCACCTAGAGCTCGCCCCTGCGTCGGAGGCCGCCCGCCCCTGCGCCCTGTGCCCAACGGAGGTCGCCCGCCCCTGTGCCCTACGCCAATGGAGGCCGCTCGCTTGGGAGCCCGCTCGACCCTTCCGTAGTTCACTCGCGCCGCCGCATCTGGAGCCGGAGCCGTCACCGCGACCGAAGCCTCGCCCACGACCGCGCACCTCCTCTCCTTTCTTCCTCGCAGTCGGCAGCGAGCCGCTCGTCCCACCTAGGCTCGCCCCCCTCTGTCAAAATTTTGGAGACAGGGTCGCCCCGCATATGAGGTGGGACGTCCTCGCCGCCGTGGCCTCCCAACCAAACAGCACTCGTCCAAATTCAAAAAATAAACGGCGTCGTCCCGGGTCCGTCCCATCCCGTCCCTTCAACCAAACGCTACCTCACATAGCTGGGCCGATTTGGGCCTACTTGGCGTGTTACCAGGCCATACAACGATGAAGTCTAGTAAGTTCCGACTCTGGCTTGACCTGCAGTGAAATCTGTTAAACCCCGAGGCGAAGCGAGGCGGCGGCGGAGACCAGGAGATCGAGGTGGCGAGGGAAGGGGAGCTGTCGAGATCATGTCTCTCCGGGCCCTGAGTTCCCCTCTTATCCGGAGGTTCTCGCCACGCCGGTTCCCCGCCGCGCAGGCGGAGACCATAGGGTCAGCGTCGGGGAGGCCAACACGCTCTCTCCACACTCTGGCGAGCTTCGGTATCTCTAGATCACAGATCTAAAATTTCTTCATTCGCAGCATCTATTCTCATGTTTCTCATCCTGGTACAGAGCAACCCGGACGCTGCCGTGGGCACTTGTGGTGCTTTGGCCGTGGCCGGGTTGGCTGCACTGGTCTGAATCCTGTACCTCAAGAAAGATGACAAAGGTATGAATTGAAATCGGCTCTTGTTTGTCATTGTGAAGCTCTATTCTATGTATTCTAATGATGCGCCATCGCCTACGGTGTTCATATGTAACTGTAGCTGGCGAGGTGACCGACGAGGGGGCCAGCAACGTGGTGGTGACTGACATGGAGGCGGCTCTAAATGATCCAGCCATCGTGGCAATGTTCATCGATAAAGATGGCAACATTGCCTGGATGGAGTACAATGATTACCTCATTTTTCGCATGCAGTATCTTGATGGGAAGGTGGCCGTGGAGTAGGAGGGCAACGTGATTAAGGTTGATGAGACAGTGATGAAGAAAAGGTTTAAGGAATGGAGGAAGGAGCATGACGAGGCGTACGAGAACCACAGGAAGATGGTCATGGAGCAGGAGTACAAGGTTGATGAGGCAGTGATGAAGAAAAGGTTTGAGGACTGGATGAAGGAGTATGGCCGGACCTACAAGGACGAGGAGGTGAAGGCTCGACGGTATGAGGTGTTGAAGGTGAATGCAATGGAAGCAGACAAGGCTAACACACATACCCGAGGCGATACCCGTTATGGTCCTAACAATCTTGGGGACTGGACTGAGGATGAGCTCAAGAGGATGCGTTGCCGTCAGGGTGACTTTGACTTTAAGTCATACTTTGAGGACATGAGGACTATGTATGCTGAAGGGAGGTTTGACGCCCATCTGAGGAAGGTAGCTCCTCAAGAACTGGATTGCACTGATGCTGTGAAGAAGGTGTGTATTATCGGATCCCTAACTATGTTTACAAGTATCGATGCTTGCTAAATAGAAATGTGCACTTCTGTCCCAGAACTAGAAAAAAAAATCAATGTCATGTTTGAAGATGGCAATTAGATCTTGGCATTCCCATGCATGATCTCGCTCTAGAATTGGCCAAGTAGTCTTTCAATTTCCAATTCGTTATATATAGTTGCTGAATTGGATATATGTGTATCCATGGAACAGTACCAAGTAGTTTGATCTTGACCTCCTAGTAATTAATTGTGTAGCGGTAGCAAAGTAAGTAAACTACACCAGGAGCACTAACCAAGTCCTGCTGGCTACTGTTCACATGAGCAAGTATGCCTGGCCTTTTCTTCAGTCTAACATTCTAGCATGTGTACGTGTGGACTGGAGAATTCCTGTGTTGGTCATTTTAGAAGCAGCTAAAAATTCCTTCCTCGCTCATTTTGTTCTTTGCAATTTGCCTCCAGCTGCCTCTCAAATTATTTATCCTTCCTCGCTCAGGTGCACCATATTTTTATCTTTGGAAAATTTTGTGCTAATTCTTAGCATTTTGGATGAGGGCAGAGGTTCAGGGAACTGGCAGCACGAAAGGCCGAACAAGAACGTCAAGCAAACAAGCACTAGGCAGCGAGAAGACAGGCAAGGTATGCCAATGCCGTAATTGAGCTATAATTCCAAGTACAGGCAAGGTACCATCACTAAGGTTAAGATGCAAGTACTTGTGTTGATCCAAGGGACTAATCAAGCCATGATGATTCATGCGATGCTAAGTATCAAATCACTATTGGATCAAAAGTTAAAGTGACTCAAAACTATCAAAAGTTAAAGTTACTTGAAACTATGTATTGAACTCTTATGTGTTAAAATAGTGAAGTCACAAGCTCAAGGAGGATTCGTTCAAGGATTGAGACAAAGTTGATTGCAACTCTTGTGAAGACACATTGTGAATAAATAGTATGTCAAAAGTCATGCAAGATCAAGTGGTTGAAATAGATTTTATCCTCGACGCACCCTCCTAGTTCTCCGGTGACTGTGCAAGAACAGAGCAAAGGAGCACCCTGTCACGCGCCACAACCTAAAAGAATTCAATTGGCCTTGTTCTTCATTCCTGGCACATCTTGCTTTGTGTGGGAGTTGTTTGATGGATTAACAGAATACACTACCGACCACAGGTTCTGGGAAAAACTGAAACAGCTGACGGGCATCAAATTTCCTAGACTAAACCCAAGGACCTGGACAAGGGACTTGCTGGACAGTGCTAACCGTAAACCTGGTGATCGTGAGATAATCTTATGCGGAATGTGGTCACTGTGGAATAGCAGGAATGATCGCCGTCATGGAAAGTCCCCAATCGAGCCGGGGCTGGCAGTGGATTGGGCGATAGAGCCTGTTTCCGTCTCTCCATTGGCAGCCGAGACTTGGCTCAAGGAAGGAGGATACAAGAGGTCTGGACAGCACCTGCGGAAGGAACTCTGAAAGTCAATGTTTTTTACAACGCACACGTCCACGATACGTATGCACACTCACTTCTATGAACACATGTGCGTAAATCTTATCTCTATAAACACCTCCAGGTGAATTGAGTCGACAGATCTTGAGATTCACGAAATCACCATTGACGTCTTATTGTCAACAGGGATGGATGTCGCCTATTACTAAAGGCATAACACCGTTAGATCTTAAAATAAATCCAAAAAAATACGAACACCCATACCAAGTGAAAGACTTAAATCTAGATGGGTAGATTTTACCACACTGAACCTAACTAACTGATCGTAGATCGGTTCGCACTCTGAAAGTCAAATGTTGACGGCTCATTTACACAGGATACTTGCATGGGTGCGGTAGGAGCAGTGGTGCGGTGTAGCTTTGGCACATTTCGTGCTGCCTCTGCACGATGGCTGAGATCGGTGGGATCAGCTCTATTGGCGGAGGCGGAAGCACTCAGGGAGAGTCCGACTGATCCCGGCAGGGACCCAAACACCACGTCGTCGCGGAAACGGACGCCCAGGAACTAGCCACGCTCTAGAAAAAACAGGAGTATGCACCGATCGGAGGTTGTGACGATCCTGCAAGATGTTGAAGAAATGGCGGCGACCTTCACTTCGTTTGATGTTGTCTACAGGAGGACTGTGAATTTTGCTGCGCATTTATGTGCCAAGCACTCAGTTTCTTTACATGCCATACCCCTCTTAGTGCAGCATGATTGTAACACTACTCCTTAATTGATGAAGCTTTTGTTCAAAAACACGACACACAGTGCTCATGAACTGTTCGACAAAATACATGACATGGCTACCAAGACTTGTTGTCTTTGCTTTTTTTATCAACGTGATTGGAGACAAAAGTATACAGTGAGATGTGGCAGTATGGTTGCCACACCTGAATGTTATCTATTTGTGGCGTATTCAAGTGCTCATTAAATTTTCTTCTTTATACAAACTACTATATGAAACTATGCATCGGAAATACTGAGTCTAAATTGCACTAGTTTTTCTAGACACTAGGCATATAAAGTGTGCATTGGGACTTCCCTACCTACTTTAAATGGACATCGCGTAACATAATTTGACCAAATAAAAAAATTAAAAGACCACAAGTCAGGCACAATCGATAAAATAAACCACAAACCAACCCTATTAATCTACAAAATTGGACAAAAACCTAGGAGAAATCAACATCTCAAAACCGTAGTGCAACACAAATCGAAACATGAGGAAAATCTCCATGAGCCAACTCTGTAGGTAGAAGGAAGCGGAGTGGCAGGAACCAATCCAATATTGCAAATAATCCTGCATCCACCCCATGCAAAACAAAACTAACAAATGAGAAATTGTCCAAACCCTAGCCAAGTCTCTAAGCAAGATGAAGTTACACTCGATACATCCCAATCAACGTAACTGGGGCGAAACACAGGATAGCGAGGGCTAAGGGGGAGCGGGGACTTATTGGCGTTAACCACAACAGGGCTAGGGAGGAGTGTTGTGGAGATAGGGTCCTGGGCAGGTAGAAAGGGGGTGATGGTGGTACTAGGGGATAACTCGACATATTGTGGTGGGGAAAGATAAGGGTGTGTAGGCCTCTTCGGGTGGCGGACAATGGACAATGACGTGCGTGCTGAGCGAAGACATCTCAAATCCGGTCGTAGTTGAGGAAAATGTGGGCATCTGAGCCCCCCTCGTGCATGCGTGGTCAAGGTGACAACACTTTATGAAGGATGGCAAATGATGGTACTCAGGTAGTGCATCTCAGAATAACTTAGGGTGGTGGGGGTGCTCACGGCGAACATCACTTTCGGTGGCGGCTATGACGGTGTATGTAGGAGGTGAGAGGATGGGAGGGTAACTAGGGATCCTTACCTAGATGTGAGAGATGGGAGAAGCGACAGAAGCAAGAGATGGGGAGACGGTATGGTAGACGGCCAGAGATGGGAGAAGGTGGATGCAATGTTGTTGGTTAATTAAACTATGGGCCGTTTGGATCCTTGGAATTGATTCATTTTAATAATCATAATTTAGACACAAATTAGTTAAGTTAATATGGTTGTATATGGAATATATTATATATTACTGTTGACCATACGAGAGATACTTATGTGTTGCATTTCTACCATAAGGGAGCGAGCTGAAGAGCGTATTATAAGTTGCAAAACAGAAACACATAACATGGTGATCTATAAAATCAATTTCCATCTTCCACCCTATGAATTTGAGATGGGAGATACTAGCGGTGTAGTGCCTGGCCGCTCCAACAGAAGCGCACGTCCGGACGCCGGTGTTTCCAACATCACGCGCGCCCGCGGACGTCGCGTCCGCCGCCCCTTCTTCCTGACCCCTACTCTCTCAGGACGAGTCCGAACGCCCGCGCATCCTCCGTCACGCACGCTCGCAGGAAACGCCGCGCCCGCCGCTCCTTTCCCCTGACCCCCTACACTCTCTCCGCACGGGCGGGACCCGGGAGCCGGGATGAGGACGAGCATGCCTCGTCCGCATGACTCCAGCGTGCCCCATCCGCCAACCCCCGGCTCGCTGCGCCCCATCCCCCAGCGTTCGGGCCATGCCCCCTATGACTCTCTGGACATACCTCTGACACATGAAACACTTAAATACAACATACGTCTAAAGCAGATAAAACATTTGTAACATACACTAGCAATATACGTGTGAAACATATGTAACAGCCAGATAAAACACTTGCAACATGAAAACACTTACTGCAACATAAGACTGAAATAGCTGAAACATTTGGAACATACTCTTACAACATATGTGTGAAACATATGCAACATTCAAATCAAAACGCTTGCAACAAGAGATGAAACCTTTTAAACAAACTCTTGCAACAAGCCTCTGAAATATTTGTAACATATGCAACATCCCGATCCACTTTTGAAACATCCATATGAAATATTTGCAATATATCTATGAAACATCCGAAATACTTGAAACATATGCTTGCAACATGCGTTTTCAGCACTTCGCAATATCTCCTTGCTGCTTGGGAAAATGAGGCTCGTGGGCCTATGGAGTTTGCCAAAGGCAACGGCCTGGCGGTGCTTATAAGCGGCGGCTTGGCGGCGGCGGCTACACACGCCCCACCTAGCAGGGCCGACAGCCGAGCGCCGTGACTCGCAGGCGGCTGCACGCTGCACCTGGTAGGGCCGGCAGCCGCATGCTGATACTGGGGAGGGCAGCCGCGCGCCCGCCTGGTAGGGCTAGCAGTCAAGCGCCGCATGCGGGAGCGAAACGAGGAGTGATTTTTTTATAGAAACAGACGAGCAGATAATTGAGAGGGTCGTTGGGTGAGCGGCGTGTGTGGGAGTGAGCGGAGCGAGGCGTCCGGACAGACGATGTTAATTGTATCATTATCGATTTGAGATAGGTTTTTATGTGAACTTTCGAAAGTTGTGGAATGTCAAATTTCAAGCTAAATAACCTAGTCTATTAAGTATATTATATTTCGTCCAAAATAAAAGGATCCAAATGGCCCCTTGTAGTATTTCTGGGTTCATGGAAAGCTTCCTATAGACGCGTGGGTTCTCTCAAACACATCCTTGATGGTATCCCTCTCAAGTTAAGGTATTATACCAAATACGTGTATTGTTGAGGCTCGTCTCTTATATTTGCGGCCTAGAGAAGGTGTCGCTAAAACCAACGCATCATCATTACTTGTTTCAACTTGGCCCGACTCTAATCTCACATTACAAATGTGTTTTTATTATCGGGTATTTGAATTTGGTGTCTTCTTTTTGCTGTTTGGCATAGCGGTCTCGTTAGTTTCTACTAAGGCTTAGTCAATGATACGCCATATATAAATTATTAAGTATTACTATCAGAAGAAATTGGCTTTTTAAAGTGTAAGGTGCCAACACAATCCTCATGCCAGTCAAAATTTTCCAGTTTCTAGTTTGCCTCTGAACATGTCACAGCAGCTTTATTTATAAATCAGTAGGAAGATCTTACCGTTTTCTTTTGTAATATAGCAACTTTACTTTCACAAGGAAACTCAGTGTGAGTGCTGTACCGATGCACTACACAGTATGCATGTAAGTTCTCCTGACACACACAGCTAGACCTAGCTAGCTAGTAGCTAGGCTGGCAGGGGAACAACACGAACAACTGGGCGCAGATAAAGATCAAGCTTCCTCCGGATGGTGATGCCCATCTCCTCCGTCATGTCTACTTCGCTCAGCAATTGCCCACCTGGGAGACTCCAGTCGAAGTGGTACAGCAGCGCCGCGAGCACCAGCTCCATGCCGGCCTGCGCAAACGCCATGCCGGGGCACATCCTGCGACCCGCTCCAGACGTCGTGAATTCAAACCTCTCCGGCCTGAACGTCTCGGCGTCCTCCCAGTGCTTGAGATCCCTGATGCTGATCGCCCAGACGTTCACAAAAACCGTGGTTCCTTTGGGTACCCCATCACCTTGCATGACTCTCGGCACTCTCTTGGCAGAAGCAATGGCACCACTGGATGCATCCTTAGGGTCTCTTTGATGACGAGTTTCGTGTACTTGAGGTCGGCTAGGTTGTCTACGGTCACGGTTGGCTTTCCTTGCAGGTGGTCACGCACCTCGGCTTGTGCCTTCTGCATCACTCTAGGGTTCCTGACGAGCTCTGACATGGCCCATTGCAGTGTGTTCGCGCGCGGATGTCTCGCTCCCGGCACCGAAAAGGTCCTAGGTACGTCATGCACACGTACAATATGTAGTATGAACTAATTAATGACATATAATTTACACTAGTAGTTACTTACGAGGATGACAGCCTTGATGAGCCCCATGGTGAGAGGCACGTCGACGTCGAGGCCACCTTCTCTCTGAATCCTCAGGAGCACGTCCACTAGATCCTCCTCATGCACGGCGCCGGCGCCGTCTGCAGCCACGGCGGCCATGGCTGCCCTCCGCTCCTCGTGCTGTCTGATGGCACGGTCCATCAGCTCGAACTGCTTACGGTGGTTCGCCACCGCCCGGCGCCG